CCACTGGTCTCTGCCACAGCTTTTCTTTCTCCTACTTCACTCCACAAGCAGCCACAGAAAGTACATAATGTGGCTGTCCCAATAAAGCTTTATTTGCAAAAACACATGACAGGCCACTGTCCACAACTCCTTAGTTATTCTGAGCCATCTCCGTGGCAAAGGGGCTCCATATCATATCAACAGCCTCACAACCAGGCCAGTTGTACCACAAGCTGTACCATGTGCCATAAACTAACTATTTCAGCTCCACATATTCATTTACTCATCCACATACATGCCTTCCTTAATACAAGTTTTCCTTTCTTTGGGATTTTAATACATTTTAGCCATCTTAACAATTACCTAGAAATCCTTGGTTTACTCTTACAGCTTTGTAACAACAAACATTCATTATAATCACTGATTCTTATGGCACTAAATACAGCTTTTTAACATCAACAGCTAGAAATCCCTAGTCCTGCTGGTAAGAATCGAGCTGTGTGAAGATCAGAAAGAATGCCAGGCGCTAAGGCGGGAGACAGGACGTGGCTGAAGAGGGGACTAGCGGGCCACGGCAGGTCTGTCGAAATGAGAGCTGCTCGGCTCCGGGTGGCCTGGTGCTCTGAGCATCTCCCCACACCCTGCCTCTCCCGCTAGCCCCCAGACCTAAGTGGCACATCAAAGCCAATGAGAGAAAAAGATGGTGACCCGGGGAGGCTGAGCCCACCACATCAAGAAGGGTTAAGAAGATGAATGGACAAGAATGGCCGAGATTAGTACCAGGAATTTTACTCCATGACTTGGAGGCCAACCACACATACTAGGGGAAAAGGGAGCTCAGATAAAGAGGGGAACACCAAATAAAGGTGTTGGGAGGATCCTCCCAGGATGGGAGAAGCATGCTGAAAGTAGACTATAGACCAAACATGATTGCTACTCAATGTTTCTTTTGCAAACCACAACACCCAGAAGGAGAGAGAGAACAGAGAGGAATGCCCTGCCACAGAGACAGGGTGGGATGGGGCGGGATGGGGGGTGGGAGGGATACTGGGATCCGTGGTGGTGGGAAATGGGCACTGGTGGTGGGATGGGTGTTTGATCATTGTATAATTGAAACCCAAGCACAAAAATGTGTAAGTCTGCAACTGTACCTCATGATGTCTCACTATTAAAAAAATTTTTAATAAAAAAAAACTAAATAGGTAATAAATTAAAAAGAAAAAAAAAGAAGATGGATGGAAAGAAAGGAGCTGTCTTAGTAAACAACAAGCAAAGAAACAGGCAAACAGACATCTAGCAGCAAAGGGACCCTGGAAACCAGCATTGATTCACAGGAAACTGAGACCTGCCAGGGCATCTGAAAGGAATAAATAACCAGCGCAGAGCAAGTCCTGAAGGGTGATGACTTAGTAATCACTGAGCAGCTGTGACTCATGGCACTTTCTCATCGGGCATCCCCTTCGAGATCTCAGTTCCACTCCACTGCTCTCACATTTTCCTTCTCCTCCTCCCCATCCCTGCTCTTCCCAACCCTTTCTGCAGGCACGATCTCAGGCTCCATCACATTGACAATTATGGTGTGTCATTCCCTCCACAGTCTACCCACCAGTTGGACACGAGGCCTCTCCACTCACACGTCTCCCAGTCTCTACCCAGTCTCCCCCAAGAGAGTGCCTGTCCTGTGCACACCCCTCAATACTCTGTCACTGTCCTCCCGTTGTTCATCGAGCGGGCCCAGTAATGTCTCCATTGGAGACTTTGTTGTTACTGTGTTTGGCATATCGAATACCTCAATACTCAAAGACCCAAAAGTCTGAGCATGTGTCACACTAGCCAGACTCAATTAAGAAAGTAATGGAGAGTAGGGAAGACTGAGCCCCGAAGCCAAGAGCAAGAATCTTATTTCCCTTAGTCAATATCATGAAATTATACCTTTAACTGTGGACTCAGGATAGAAAATTCCCAAAGCAGTACTCATCAGTCGTCACCATTTCCACAGCACAAGCAATTACATTTTCACCTTAGTTGTGGTATAGTTACTATAGTTCCAATAGTAAGCCTAGTATAGTTACTACAGTTGCAATAGTAAGCTAACCAAGTTTTGAAGTAGAAAGTCTTTTATCTCTAGAAAGCGTGTATAGTCATATATATTGACAACTCAAAAAGGCATGATCTTTGAATTATAAGGCCCAGACCTTCCACCAACTGGGAATGACCTTCATGATCATCATCTGTTTGTATGAAGTAAGCATCTCTTATTAGGAAGCCTGCAGAAAGTAGCAACCTAGCAACCAAATGTCACTGTTACAATATAAAATGTTTCAACTGTTATACTGTATTAAGATTCTAGAAGGCTTTATTAATAGCTTTATCCCAATAATCCTATGCAAGGCAACAGCTCCTCTGGCATTTTTCTCAGTAGTTACACTGAGGTAGAGTTGGTCCTCAAATCCTGCTAAGTTTTCTCTTAAGTCACCACACCCTGAAACAGAAAGAGAAGTTTCCCTGCACATCTTTCTGAGGTAGTATGTGTGAATAGCCTTAAATACAAAAACTACTCACGTGCTAGATCCCCCTCCACTCCCCCCCCATTATATACAAGAAAGAGGCACAATAAAAGGTGAAGGCATCAAATATAAAACCTAGCTAGTGCTCATGAATGCTTACATTGTGCCACTTCTCATGAATTATTTCTTTTAATTCTAATTATCATCCACTGATGGGTGCTACTCCCTAAATCAGTTATAAAAGTAGCGAAGGACTGAGGATTCTTGTCCAGGCCCACACACTAAGCAATTGTGCTTTCCAAAAATATGTGAATCAGAAGCACAGTTTGGAAGGTGGAAAGAATGCAATGCCTGTCTGCATTACAAATAAATCAGAAGGGGCAAGTAGAAGCAGATTAAATAAGATAATGCTACCACCATCTGCCCCTCACAAAGATTTGAAATCTCACTAGAAAATAAGGTCAAAAGAGCAAACTTTTAAAATATAATAAGTTTAATGAATCAGGCATAATAATATCATAAAAAAGGTGTTCTGTATCCTGATCCACATTAAGTACAGAAGCTCAGTACAAATTAATCTCATAAAACTGTCATAATAAAATCCACCTTACTCTTTTTATTGACGCCAGAATAATGAGACTTGAAGGAATGTGCCTGTCAATGTGCTTGGGAAAAATAATTTACTTTTGTTCTTCTTTATATTCAGGTCACATTTCAAAATACAAGACAATCAAAGACCTCCTTATCTAGACAATACTAACCCTCCCCAGACATCTTACCCCTCAATACACTCAACTACTGAGAAACCCATTTCAAGGTACATCTCTCTTGGTCACTACTGCAGACAAGAAAATAAGTTTTGCAATTACTAATAAGCTACCCTCTAATAACAGTGCATAAGTTTCTGGATCAGACAAAAGTACTGTTATTTCATGCATTGAATATCTAGGAAGCAAGAGGTAGCATTTCAGTACACTAAGCAGCTAAAAAGGTGAAAAAGATTAAAAATAAGCAACACAGGCTAGTTCCTCGCAAGGGTCCCCAACCATGCTATATCTCACCTCCAGGAGTAACTAAAGTGGCAAAACCTGACAGAAGCCTTTTACTCGCATCCCTCTCTCCAACACAAACTGGGGGGTCTAAAAAAGCTCCTAGCGTCATACATAAAACATTTTCATTTTCTTCATGAAGTACATTGGTAGAGGGCTAAACTCCCACTTGAGAGAGGAGGGACCCGAAAATCACCCTATCCCTCTTCCCAGTGAACAGCTCTGTGTTCAAAAACTTGTCTTACAGTCAGACTTAGATGCTTTTCGAAGTAAAATGTTCAAACTAAAGCAGTTTCCTTTTCAGATTTGGAACACGAGTTTCAAAATATCTTTAGTGAAAAGTTTGCCGTGGAGAGAGATATTTGCTTTGCCATAAAGAATGTGAGACCTGCGAACCATCTCATTTTCTAAGAGGCATCAGCCCTCAATTACCTCCCAAACCACCCAGTCTAACAAGCTGCAGCTCAGGGCCTCACACCCTACAGACAGGCTGGTCCTCAGCGCCCCTAAGCCTTGTCAACACTCAATGGGCAAATCCCAAACTTGCTTTGAAACCAGAAAGCAGAGGTTGCCGGTCCCCAACGAAACTGAAGGCTCCTCCCACACACCCACAAAACAGCTACCAGGTTCCTGGGTATTTATTTGTTTTCATATTTTTTAAAGACGAATAAAAAAATATTAATTGAACATGCTTGTTTGTCCTTTCACGTTTACATATTTCAAATCCGTCCCTTTTCTTCTTTTGCAAGTTAAAAAAGAAGAGACATTACTAATACTGAAACGTTCTCGTTTGGAGGACTGAGTTTTACGAGACAGGCAGAGAGATGAGCCTGCAAAGTTGTGCCTTTTTTTTTTTTTGGTTATTAATTCCGGCAAAGCAATCGTGCATATCAGTTTTCAAACAATAAGAGCGTCGGGAACGCACAACGTTGCAAAGTAACAATATGAGCGTTTGGGATGCTCGGTGATGCAAAGTAATGCGAGGCAGCAGGACGGGGCACGATGCAACGCTGAGCTCCGGGTCACAAAGGCTGCTCGGGCGGATAAGCACGCGAGTCCGAGTCACAGCCCTGCCAAGTCCCGAGCTCTCTGCAAGCGTCAAATCGCCTACCAGTGCCCGGTTCCGGCGCCTACGGTCTGGGCGCCCAGGGGGACCCGGGAAGGCGACCCCCAGGAGCGCAGCAGACGGACGCGGGGGTCCCCCTCCAGGAGGGCGAGGCTGCAGGAGCACAACCCGAACGCGGCGCGTTCCGGGGAGGAAGCGCAGGACGGCGCGGGGCCGGCTGTGGGTGCCCGGGGGCGCCACGGCCACGGTGCAGGAGGCTGGCTGCAGCTCGGGCCCCGGCGGCGAGGGCCGACGCGGGTGGGGGACCGAGAGAAGGGGGGCTGGCGAGGGGCGCGGGTGCAGGGGTGGGCTCAGCCGCCCCGGGGAGCGCGCGGCCCGAGCGCTGGGCGCTTCCGTCACCTGTATTGTTTGAAAAGCTGGTCCGACTCCCTGAAGCCGTTGTTGAGCAGCATGTTGATGCCGGCCAGGGCCAGCTCTGCGTCCTGCAGCGGCGCTGCGGCCGCGGCCGAGTCTCCGTCGTCCCGCCGCCGCGGCCGCTGCTGCTCCGAGCCGGCCATGGGCGCGCCGAGCTGTGCGCGGGGCCGGGCGGGGACGCGGCTGCGGGGCCCGGCGCTACCTGCCCGAGCGCGGCGGCGGCGGCGGCGGGCGGGCCGGGGCGGGCCGGGAGGAGGAGCCCGGCCGGCTGCGGCGCGGGGATTACTCAGCAGCCGCCCGCCCGCGCCGCTCCCGGGCCCAGTCCGCTCCGGGGGTCCCTTGGCGCGCACAGCCCGCGCCGCCCCGCCTCCCGCCGCCCCCGGACCCTCCGGGCCCGGCCAGCCGCGCGCCCGCCGCCGGGTGCAGGGAGGGCCGCGGGGCGCAGGCAAGAGCGCGGCCGCGGCCAGAGCACGCCGGGTGCCCGCGACCCCCCAACTTCATTCCCGCGGGGCCGCCCCCTAGCCCAGGCAGCCAATCCCCGAGGGCGAGCGTGGCGGGGGCTGGGCCTTCGTGCACCTGCTGGACGGGGCCGCGAGGTCCACGCCGAGGACCCCGGAGGCGGGAGGGGGCGCGCGGATCCGGAGACCCGCCTTCCGCCCCCGCCACCTGCACGAGCCGGGTGTGGCCGGGGCACGAAGGGAGACTCCCCTCTCCGATCCCTAAAGGCCCAAAAGTTCCGAACTGAGCTCTCCAAGCGCGTTCTGGCCTCACCCTGACCGTGATCCGCGCGCACAGGGGATGGAACAAAGATTCCGTAGAAAGCTTTGATTTTTGACGTGATCGAAAATCAGCCAGATATTAGAGATGACTGAAGGGAGTCGGTGGCGCAAATGTCAGGCTGTACCGGTGACATCAGGATGAGTAATGACAGTCAAACGAGTCAGGATAATTTTTATGGGTTTTTTTTTTATTGATTTCTTTCCATCCCCCTTCCCCGCCCCCCCCTCCACACACACACACCTGGCAATATTCAGGGGTTATTCCTGGTTCTGCATTCAGCAATTACCCCCCGAGGTGCTCAGGGCATCATATGGGATTGCAGATGAGTTGTGTGCAAGGCAAACGCCCTTCCCGCTGTACTATCTCTCCCGCTCCTATATTAATTTTTTTTTACTGGTCGTGATTTTAGCAAAATCGGTAAATACGGTCTTACAATCACAGTTTTGTCTCTGGTGTCGAATCAGGCCACCTACATTAAACCATTTAGTTCTTAGAAGATAGTTGATCATTTCAGTTGGTAAAAACCTGTCTGCGGAATGGGCAGAAGAGATAGTACTGCAGGTAAGATGCTTGCCCTCCCACGATGCTCTTCCGGGTTTGATCCAGATCCTCTGAGAGCAGAGGCAGGAATAAGCCCTGCACACCACCAGGTATGGCCTGATACTAAAACAAATCAAAAAAAGGGAGGGAGGGAGGCAAAGTTCTCTGCTGGAGCATTTACAATAGGATTTTTAAATTAGAGTGATCATAAAGTTTAGAGATAGCTTATGCATTTTAAGTACCACAATGGAATCAAGAAAAATACTGTCACAGAAAAATATTATAAAATAACTTTGTTTTATATGAGATGCTGAAGATTATTCTGTGATTTGTGTCTCCCTTACAACAATATCTGGAGTTTTACATTAGTTTGAACATTCACAGCTAGGAACAAGAGTAAGGAGAATTCCTGTCACAGATTTGTTCTCTAGCCCGGCAAGCTACCGAGAGTATTGGATATGCCAGACACAGTAACAACAAAGTCTCCAATGGAGACATTACTGGGCCCGCTCGAGTAAATCGACGATCAACGGGGAGGGCCTTTACCTTTTTACCTTACCTAGTGTAATTGTTACAAAACTATGCTAATTCTTGAGTACAGGTGGAGTCACAGATAAAAACAGAAATGTCATAGAGAAGATTCTCACAACTGGAATACAACAAACCCTCTTAGGTTGAAGCATTGGTCGCAAATATCAGCAATTGCCACTGACTTGCAAGACATCCAGAGGCTATAATCTTTTGTCTTAGAACATTATGCAAAAGATAAGCATTTCTGAGGCCTGGGACTAGATGTAGGGACTTGAAGGTTCCATGGAGTTTTCCATAACTGCCCAAACCTAAGTGAAAGAGATATGCACGTGCTCCTTACCGCATTTATATTTGTGCATGTTTTGTGGGTCGGGGCTCTCTATAGCAGCAGTGGTTGCTGTACTAGCTCTGAAACTCATAGAGGGCTTTTTCCAGAGAGGGGATCTTGGCTACACGTTCCCAGTGGTAACAGGAGCTAACAATATGTCTGATGCTCACAAACTGCCTGAACTTTGGATCTGTGGAACCCTCCACCCCCATGGGTCTAAAAAACTACAATCTAGTCAACAAGGGCAGGGGGCGGGGGGTCAGGAGAGAAATAGCAAGCTTAGCAACCAGCCTGTACTCCCCCCCCCAACAGAAGGAAACCACGCCCATTCTCAGTTGCCCTATCAATGAGAGCGGTGGGGCGGGGCTAAGGAATTGAAGGCACCATCTGCAAGTTAAGAAGTTGTACCTGGCTCTGTAGGAGAGCATGGAAGTAGGGATTAGAAAAGCAAACAATTCTTGGGAGATTAGTGCTGGCTTAAGAACCTGGAAGAATCAGATATGCAGACCTAGTGATATTTAACTGTTTAACGGTTAGGGCAAGGTCCAATTCAAGTGCCCAGCACCCCATCCTCAGAAAGGGGAGGGTTGAAATGGATAAAGGACAATGCTGCTATATAATGTACAGCAAACATGTACCAAATTGGACTTAACCAGATACCAAAAAAATTAGATAATCAGCAGTAGCATGAATAGATGTTTTCAAAGATTTGCTCAGTGATGAGGGATGCATAAAAGGAATCAAAACAGACCCCACCATCCTGAAATGAGACAACGCAGGGACCAGTAATGGGGCAGCACCCAGGGTTCACCTAGCAGGTGGGGGAACAAAACCTTGATGGTGTTTTCTTCAGTAGATAACAATGGGAGGTAATAATGGCTGTTTAAGAGGTCATGACGTATATTACATACAAAAGAAAAAATCTAGATGACAGACACATCAGAATTCTATGCACTTGAAATCATGAGCTCATGCAGCATCTCTGCAAAGCGAGCGCAGTCTGCAGTGCACTCAGCTCCAGTCTCAAAGGATGAAATATCTAAGTGTTTCTTCTGCAGGGGGGAGGGGAGGGTGCAGGACAGCTCTCTGGTGAAGGAGAAAACCTATTTCCTTTTACATGCTTCTTGCGTGTATTTGGTGGTACTGCTTCTGATTTCATGATGAAACTAAAAATCCAAATTATCAGTATAAAGTTTTAATCTTATGTGTTACCCCTTGCACAGTAATTTATAAGGTGTCTTGGTTGAAAGTAACCAGAAAAAAAAAATCCTGACTCCCTTACTCTGATTCAGAAGAGCAATTTTACTCATTCTCAAAGGGGGGTTCCTAAAATGAGGCAGAATCGGCAGAGTTGGAGCTGCAAAACTATGCCCAGGTCCCCATTTCTCCACCGCTTAGTTCAGATGTTTGGCACCTGGGAGTCTGGAAGCTCTATTCCCAGCTAGTTCTCCTCTCCTGCTCCCCAAAGATCTAGGTGCTCCCACTTCACACTCCACTCAAGACACTGCTCCTCCCAAGTTTAACCAAACGTCACCGAAATGGCTCTCACTGGCTTTAGCTCAGCTGGTTGTGGTCAGGGGCTCGTAGCATCCATCCATATGGTTCCAAGAGGCTGGGTGGGGCTCATAATCATTGGATCAAGACAATAAGAACCTGCCCCAGAATCCAGCTGGGCTCAGTTCCAAACTCCTTGGCCAGTAAATTCCAGGACTATATGTAGGAAAGGACTAGATATGACAAAGAGACCAATTAAATTATCCTCTCCCATGCATGTCAAAAGTAGACTATGGACTGAACATGTTTGCCACTCAATGCCTCTTTTGCAGACCACAACACCCAAAAGGAGAGAGAGAACACAGGGGATTGCCCTGCCACAGAGGCAGGGGGGAATGGGGGGATGGGGGTGGGGGATATTATCCATGGTGGTGGAAAATGGGTACTGGTGGAGGGATGGGTATCTGATCATTGTATAATCGAAACCCAAGCACAAAGAAATTGTAAATCTACAACTGTACTTCATGGTGTTTCACTAATAAAAAAAAATTTAAAAAAAAATTATCCTCTCCCCTGTCCTCCAAAACATGTTTTGAGTTTCTGAAATTTCATGCCAAATAGCACTGTAGCCCTTTTCTCCTGTTGTTCATCAATTTGCTCGAGCGAGCACCATCTCGAGAGAGTAACGTCTCCACTGCGAGACTTGTTGTTACTGTTTTTGGTATATCGAATATGCCACGGGGAGTTTGCCAAGCTCTGCCATGTGGGCAGGATACTCTCGGTAGCTTGCTGGGCTCTCCGAGAGTCCATACATATAGATAAACCATATGCTATATTATCTCAAAAAAAGTCTAATGTGTTATACTTAGATTCTATTTAAAACAAAGCAAAACAACTTTTTTAACGGACCATAGTATAGTACAGCAGGTAAAGGGCTTGACTTTTATGTAGCCAATCCAGGTTCCATTTCTGGCATTGTATATGACCCCTGAGTGCATGAGCACTGAGAGCAGAGCCAGGAACGAGCCCAGAGTACAACCAGGGGTGGCTCCAAGACAAAAAAGGTTTTTAAGTAATGCTAAAAATCATGCCTTAGTGTATCTGTTTGATTATCAGTCAACTGAAATAAAAACAGGTGCCCAGAATATCTGGGATTCAATAGCAGAGGAGAGTGAGATCCGTGTCACCACCTTTTCACGTTGGCTAGCTCTGTCATTAAATCCAGCCCTGTGACCCTCCTGACCTTGGGGAAGGTTCATTTCACTGCTTTCATTTAGAAGGCAAGTCATGCGGAGAGCTGATAAAGTCCCACTACAGGTCACTCGCCGGCCTCTACGGAGAGTACCTGGGACTGGCCTGGTTCTTCCTCTGATCTTTGATGTCACCGATGGTGTTGTTAGGCTTTTTGACACCATGTTGGTACCATGGAGCAGCACCATGCCCTCAGCAAGGACTGGCTACCTCTCATCTGCCTTTCCCCAGCTGAATCCCCGATAGGACACAATAAGGGTTTAAGCAGAGTGTTACTAGAATTTATGGTTCTGTTGTATAGATTCCAGCACAAGACTGGGTGGGGGCAAAGGCATTGTGTCACTCCTGCAGCCATGTCCCTCCCTCCCCAGGGGAGCAAGCGCTGGAGACGTATCCAGCTCCATGACTGTTATGTCTTTGGGAATTCCATCCTTTCATGGCTCTCTCTCTCTCTCTCTCTCTCTCTCTCTCTCTCTCTCTCTC